CAAGCTGGCTGGACAGCCTGTCCTTCATTGCATCAGCGTGGGAAAGATTCTCCCCCATGTTTTCGTACCTTTGCGACAGCTCGGCACCCGCGACATTAAGCTGCAAGTTAAGCACAGATTGAAGCAGAGCAAGGAAATGTCAACAAAACACAGCTAGTGGAAGAATTACCTGAGCTGCGCTGAGGTAGTAGTGCTCTAGCAGCTTGGAGTTGGATGCTAGTTGGATGAAATGGTGGTCTAGGGGAAGCACCGTGCCCCTAAGGAGCTCCCAAGCCGTTTCAGGAAATTGAGCCCGGTCATTCATCGACAACCCCCACTTCGGACAGAAGTGCAAAGGGTATGGATGGATGCTCAGCTCGGATGGGGGCTTCAGAGGAATCACGTTCCTCATACGCCACATAGCGGGTGGCGACTCTGACGAAGCTTGCTGCTCGGCGGTATTCACCCCGTAATGGGTGGTGAGAGCAGCTGAGGACCCCTCTTGGGGGTGAGGGGAAGTCACTTCAGTTCGGGCCTTCTTGGCCATTGATTTCTTCCTTTTCTTCCTCGACTCCCCTACTGGTGATGACTGAGCTGCAGTCTGAGGAGTGGGCACAGGTGGAGGAGGAGGAGCTACGCTGCCAGAAATGGTGGAGGGCTCAGGAGCAAGCGTACTCGAGCTGCCAGTTCCTCCTATGTTCAGCAGCTGGGAAAATCTCTTCACTGTGGACAAAGAAAAGAGGTCAGTTCGGACAACGTAGTGGAAATTATAGAAAGAATGAGATCAAGAATTTACAAAGCTGTCAGCTCCTCAGGGGTGATAGGTCGGAGATCGGGTGCAGGGTCGTTCACCTCTGCCCGGATCAGCCCCGCCGACTAGAGCTGCGCGTTATTGAATTCCTTCACCCTCAGCCGAGCACTCGAACTGATCAGGCGGTCTAGCTCGGCCTCAGGCAGGGGTGAGCGAAGGGGGTCAGACACTTGGGTCTCCTCCCTCCAGGTCAAGGGGGAAACCCTGTGTTCTTCACAAAGAAGAACTGGGCCTTCCAGTCCTTGATGGAGGAAGGCATATGTGAGGATAGCTCACGGGTTGGGAGCTCCCCCCCCCCGCTCTTGCGAGCGAAGTAGAACCAATCGTGGATCGGGCCGCTCACCTTCATTTGAAAAAATGACCTGAACAGGTCCAAAGAGTAAAGGATGTCAAGAATGCTGCACAGATTAAAGAAGCCGAGGATTGATCGGATGGCATTAGGGACGAGTTGGGTTATTCGAATTCCCCAGAAGGTCAGAATTTGGTAAAGGAACTGGGGAATGGGAAGACGGAGGCCAGCCACGAGCTGATCCCTATAAATAGCCACGAACTCAGGAGGAGGGCGGCACGCGTACTTTCCTGGCCGGGTAGCCCTAGCCTTGAACTAGGGTGGAATGTCATACCTCCCCACCAATTCGTCTACATCCCCCTGTTCCAGGAGGAGGGGATGATCTCGACTTCCCCGAAGTCAATATTGGGCCCCCGGGAGGGCCCTGCCCTAGCACGAGCTGGGACTGCCCCCAAAGGAATCTCGGGGACTGCAGCTCCTGCGTCAGGCTGAGCAGGTTGGTCGGGCTGACTCATATCTAGGGCGGGGGAGTAGACTGGAGAAGGAAGATGCTCAGATCCAGATGAACTAGAGGAAGAGGAACTAGGAGAAGAAGAACTTATTTCTATGGGGGCAGGTCGGGCTACTCTATGCCTAGATGCCGAGCTAGTGATGTTTGAGTGTGGGGAAGAAGACGACATAAAAGGAAAAAGAAAACTTACTAGCAGATAAGGAAGAAGAGCTTGTGGGTGCTTAGAGGGGGACGCTACTCTCGAGCGAGCTCACTAAGCGCAGGGCGAGCTGGTGGAGATTTGAAAGTAGAGAAAATGAGGAAGGAAACTTGAAAGCGACGTCCGGAGGGGCCTATTTATAGGCTACCTGGGCGGAAAGATAAAGAGTCCTGAATTAAAATTTCAAATTTATTACTTAAAAACCGTTACCTAGGGAGACGGTTGAGCTGACAACCGCCATTATGAGGGAACGTGACCCCCGGAACGCCGGTTACGCCAGCGAACATGGCAATTACACGAACAGGGAATTGTGGGCCCCACGCTGAACCGACCCTTCGTCTCGAAATTTGGTCCAGATTCACGCGATCCCCCGATGACTCTAGATTCAAAGGGGGGCTAGTGTAAGGGGGCTAATACGCACGGGACACGTGCTAGCTCGGCCAAATCATGCCCGAGCTCGGCCACAGGTACCTGGCAGCTCGAGTTAGGGGTGGCAATCAGATCGGGTTCGGGTTGGCGGGTCGGGTTGAAACCCAAATATAACAAAAAATCCGTTGACCCGAACCTGACCCGCCAATCCAAAACGGGTCAGGATACCTGACATGAACTTGAAAATTTTGAATTGACGGGTTGGCGGGTCGATCCGAAATGACCCAAAACTTAATTTTAATTTATTAATTTATCACTGTAATTTCTAATAAAATCAATTTCTCACAAATTTAATTACATCATCAAGTAATAAAACTTTAAATAAATAATTTCAAACCAAATTTAAAATAAATTAAACACTGTAAAAGTGTTTTATCCCAAACCAAATATAAAATAAATTAAAACAGCATAAAAGTAAAAAATAATATAATATATTATCTGTCCAAATATAATAATTTCAACTTCACACAAGTTAAATAAATTCATTTAGGATTAAATAATTAATGCCTTTGAAAAAAAAGAATGATTTAGTTTAGTTAGATAAAATAATTTTTATATTTATTAAATTATTTTTAATTCGTAAACGGGTCATATCAGGTCACCACAGGTTGACCCGAAATTGACCTGTTTTCTTTTCGGGTTCATCGGGTTCGACCCGATTCTGAACCGAACCCCCGAAACCTTAATCCAAACCCATTAATTTCGTGTTAGATTCGTGTCATGTTTTCAGGTCGTATCAGAAATTGCCACCCCTAACTCGAGCGCATCAGCTCAGGAGATAAAGAGGGCCAGCTCGGCCTTAGCCGCCGCTTCCCCAGGGAGTGGGTCTCGTGGGCCGCCACCTCCGGATCTTTAGGGGCCGCCATATGAAACCCTAGAACAACTCCGAACCCTAAGAGGACTCTGACTCCTATATGGAAACTACTACCACCCGCAAGCCTATAAATATGATGCTATGCGACAACATAAGGTACGCCATCTACAGCACTTTATACCATTACCCCACTCATAAGCTCCACTAACTTGATCGTCGGAGCTACTCCGGGGACTCCAGTTCCGCCGTTGTTCTCTCTTCGCAGGGTCGCCAGCTCGATTTCTCCTCTCAGTCCGGCTGCAGTTAGCTAGCCCGGCTCGAAGCAGCTCAGCTCGGACTGTGTCTTTGGCAGCCACATCACATACGAACCCCTATAAATACATTATAGAGAACCTGCACTTCCAAGTCCCGAGCTCAATGTCGTCTTGCAACGTTTGGGTAAGACGCACTGCTTGGGTGAAGAACTCCAAAGTACATACTCACCAAACAACTAATCCCTTCATAGTCAACCAAATCCAGAACCAACTCAAACGTGCCAATGCAAGAGACGTGTGATGAACAATTAAAGCACCAAATTGTTGCCATCCCTCAACACAAAACATTGGCGGATACATGCTCGAAAACACCCTGAAGCAAATAATGTCGAAGAAACAAGGTATGCCCTGAGATTTACCAAGCAAGGATGAGTTAATTAAGTTGGTTAGAAAATAACCCTACACTAAGGGCAAAAGAAAAATGTAGGACAAATAATAAATTCTACCCCAGACTACCACTTTAGGCAAATGATATTTGCACCTCAACAAAAACTACTCGCACTCCTACCGTTGATTTATGTTTCCTAAGTTCCGAAAATGCCCTCCATCATCTATTACTCATGGCATTTCTTCAACCACTTGTTCATGTCCCAAACTAATGCTTGTTGCTCTATCTTTCTTCATCAACTCAATATGTGCTTTTATCTCATTATTCTCTTCTTCATTGTCATTCCATAATGTTGCTAAACCAACCACTACTTCGACAGTTTAATTCGTCTCAAATGCATCCAACTAGACAAAGATAACTTCCTATTACAATGTAAACTATCACTCCTACAAACTTAACAAAAATCTGTATTGAAGTGCATATAATAAATTCAAGTTTTCAATTGACCAAAAATTTAAAAAAAAAAAAAGAAAAAAGAAACACACAATTACCTCTAAATACTTGTGTCAAAAAAATGGACGATAGTTTCATCCATTAAGTCAGTTTCCTCCAATAAATCATAAATTAGCAATGGAGTGCTAGAGGTTTTTTTAGGAGTGCCAATATCATTTGCCACGACTGTGTAATATTTTGTTTCAAAAAATATTGTGCAATATTTGTCTATTCTATCAATCTAAACCGATAAAAAAAAATACTTGATGATCATGATCACAAATGACGTAGCAAATTTTGATGCATTTATTAATCTGATATATATATGAACCATCAAGACCAATTTGCTCTTAATGAACTTTGGGTTAGTTTCTTCAAAAAAATAAAAATAAAAATAAAAAAATTCACCATCCGCTCAATGACAACCAATGAAGTCCCTAGTAATTCACAGAGGCAACAAAAACCAAGTTAAAAATAAAATACTCACGATATGAATTAGACTAATTACTTAGAATATCATTAAAGACAAAAAGAAAAATCTGACATCTATTGTTCTGACAGGAGTGTGCTGCAAATCGATGACTGTCAGCCCGGCAGTCAAAAAGGCAAATTATTTCTTTTTAACTCTGACACCGTCAGCCCAGCAGCGGACAAAAATTTTTTTTTATAATAAAGTCAGCCCGGCAGCTGGCAGAATTCTGCATGCCGAGCTTGTTCTGCATGCTGGGCTGACAAGCTCGTCTCTCCCTTTATAACTCTAGGCTCCCCCCCCCAACATTTCCCAGCTCAGTCTTTTCCGGCCGGCCCTCCGCCATAGAAAAGAAATCCCAAAACATGGCGACTCTTTCGTTTCTTCTCTTGTTTTCTTTGCTTTCTTTCTCATCAGCTCAGGACATGTCCATCCTGAGCTACGGTAACGCAAACCTAAAGACGAGTGGCAGTGGGAGGACGGATGAAGAAGTGATGGCCTTGTACGAGGAATGGCCAGTGAAACATGGCAAGTCGTACAACGGCCTGGGAGAGAGAGATAAAAGGTTTGAGATTTTTAAGGTTGATCTGAGGTACAAAGACGAACAAAACACCTTGCCCAACAGGACGTACCAGCTCGGGCTAAACCAGTTCGCTGATCTGAGCAACGAGGAGTACTGTTCCACTTACTTGGGAACCCGCCCTAACCCCAAAAGGAGGTTGGCCAAGACTTCCAGCGATCGCTACTGTCCAAAAGTAGGTGATAGCCTGCCGAACTCCATTGACGGGAGAGAAAAAGATGCTGTTCTTCTGGTCAAAGATCAAGGAAGCTGTGGTATGAAGTTTTCCTAGCTCTATATTTTACTTTGATTTTTAGTTTATTTTATTTTCTTTTTCATCTTGCTTGATGGTTAGATTTGTTGGAGCTTGTTTTATTTGCAAAATTTTTTCTTAAAACTCCTTTGGTCGGTATGTTTTCGTTGAGAATTATTTATTTATTATTATTATTATTATTATTTCATGTTTTTTATGAATAGATGTAGAAAAATTTTGGAAAACCCGAGGAAGAAATGAATATAAGTAGCCAAAGAAGAAAAAAAAGGTGGTCAAGCTAATACTAGCAAGTAGAGTTTTATGATGGAGAAAGTTGGTGGGTATTTTGGTAAATCGGAAATCTAGATTAATTATTGCTTTGGGTGAATATTAGTATTAAGAGTGAATGGCCCAAAAGGTCACTAAACTATTAAAAATGGCACCCTTTGGTCACTAAACTTTTTTTGTGACCCAAAAGGTCACTAAACTCACAAAAACACGCCAGCGGAGTCATTTTACCGATTTTCAGCGGTTTCTCATCCGGTGGCATGGACAATGTGTAGTGGAGGAATATAATAAAGGGGCAAAAATGTCCGAAAGGTTATTGGAACAAGTGAAGCCCAAAATTTTTCGTTCCCAAAGTTGACCAACCTCCACCCATAGATTGACTTCATCTCCAGCAGTAAAAGTAGTGACTGCGACCACCTATAGAGCAAATCAAAATAGGAAATAACGAGATTTACAGCCTAATTAGTTCATTGATTCCTTTTTTTCATCTCACACAAATCTTCGTTCAGTCTGAGGAATTGAAGAAAAAAAGCAGAGAATAGAGAAAAAGGTTCAACAGGGAGCAGAAAAATTCCATCTCAAAGCGAAAAAAAGCTGGACAAAGGGAATATTTTTTTCCCCAGAAAAAGGAAGAAATTCAATCGCAAGCGAAGACTTGGGAGGGCAACCGCAAGACATCAGATTTGGAGAAGCAGAAGTCATCGATGGTGTCGATGGCCTAAAAGCAGCCTTATCATTCCCTTCATAATCAGTGGCTTCCTAGCCCATTCATTACCTTCCTTTCCGTTAACTATTGAGTCGATTTCATCTCATCTCCTTCGACTGAGCTGCATCTGTCCTTTACGCATTTAATTTCTTGACGAAATGCCTTTCACTTTCGATCGAATTCCTCTGTCTTCCCCTTCGCCGGAGCTTGACTAGAAAGACGAAATAGCCTTGACTTCATTCAGTACGCTACCTAGAATTCGATTCTTGACTGGTGCTATCTATAAACCAACAATCTAAAGCCTTGGGCAGAGTCCGAGCTTATCTTCCGAGGGTTAGGTTCAAGGGCTGGTCTCCTTCGCTTCTTCAGAGTAAGACTCTTAGCCAACCGCCTGTTGACTACTCTTTACATTGCAGAAGGGAAGAAAGTGAAAAGGCCGATTGCAATTGAATATGATTCCTTTGCTGCGACATCCAGTCTTGGTGGATGATCTCCCAACAAGTCAAGCTTCCTTTACCCGGGGCTAGAAATCCTTCTCACGAAGAAAGTGGCTTTTCTTTCCAGTGCTAGCTTTCTACTGCGGCACCACCTACATTTGGCGTTCAACGAGCACTCGGATCTTGACCTGACATCAGTGCAATCTCGGATGCTCCCGCGAGTCGAAGCTTTAGTGACGTCGCTTCGGGGATTGGTGCGACAGATTTAGGAACCACGAATAGGAGGAAAATAATGAAGGAAAGATGTAAGATGGGGCGGTGGCGGAGATGAAGGATGGATTTAGATTTGTTAGTGTGAGTATTAATTGACATTTTTTAGGATTTAATATTTGGGCTTGCAAATTTGAAGGCGATAGCTAGGGAAATGATCAATTGGTCAACTTTTGGGAACGAAACAATCTATGAGTTCACCTGTCCCAATAATCTTTTGGACATTTTTGCCCATATCAGAATTTTCAATCAACTCAAGACCCTTGGAACCGGATGAGAAACCACTGAAAATCGGTAAAATGACTCCGCTGGCGTGTTTTTGTGAGTTTAGTGACCTTTTGGGCCACAAAAAAGGTTTGGTGACCAAAGGGTGCCATTTTTAATAGTTTAGTGATCTTTTGGGCCATTCACTCTAGTATTAATTGCTTTGGTTTTTCGTACATCTTTATCTGGACCTTTTTATTTTCACAAAAAAAGGAAAATAAAAATTCAATTAGAGTTATTTATTTATTTATTTTTTTGAGGGGTCGTCTACTGATTCAAGTTCGGCTTTGAAACTATTGGTAGATTAGACCTTTTTTTCCAGTTTTAATTGCTTATAAACTAATTTTTCTAATTTATTCTTTTTTTTCTCAAGATTAAGCCCTCTATCATTCCGTAGTTTTGTGCCTTATTAACAGTTCACACTTGTTGCTATAATTGACGACTTCCTACTCCTACAAAATGCTCCACACTTCCTTTTAATAGCTACCAAATATTTTGGTCGCGCCTAAATTGTGGCCTACCTAACTTGCGAACATTAATTTCTTTGTTGTTAGTTCATCTTATGTTGGTCAGGATCCAACCTCACAAGATACTAGCAGTACATACAGGTTTTGGGAAGGAATCTAGTTATTGTAGGCCTTACTGGTGATGGTGTCCTTGATTTTCTTTTACACAGGAACGATATTAATGGCCCTTGTTTCAGTGATCTGTATGCGACTCATTTTTTGTCGACCAATGGCTCCTACCCTCCCAAGAAGAAAATATACAAAAAAAGGGAATTTTTTTTTAAAATATATTGAACTGGCTGCCGGAAAAAAAATTTTATCCACCGCCGGCTGTGTCAGAGTTCAAAAAAATATGATTTGCCTTTTTGACGGATGATCGTTCCCAAGCGGTCTCCTCACAAGCAGAAAGGAAAGGCGAGAAATGAACCACGTCAGCAGCCTTCAGCAGACTTCCAAAACGACGTTGTTTCAATATAAATGAAGGGAAAAAAATAGATGACGGTGTTGACCGTAACGGACCGTCAGCACCAATGGCAAGCAAAGTCCCGCCTAAAATGAAACGTTCCCAAGAAGAGCCCCACTTACACTCCCTCCCAAAGGAAGCGGTTGCTGAAATTAACAAATGTAAAAAGATAGGGCAAGATTGGAGTGGAGGAACTAAAAGAGGAAACTAGAAGACGGGCAACAAAGTTCGACATTGCCAAAAGTTGTGGAACAGCGGCATCGTTGAAGGAAAATAAGAGCAAAGAGAAGGAAGAAGTGGTGGTGGAAGTAAAAGTTTTTGGTGATTGGGGTTTAATAAAAGAAGAAGAAAGTTGAACCCAAGTTTGAAAGTGGAAGATCGTGAGATTCGAAAGTAGTGAACGACCACAAATCAGTCAGGTAAAACATGAGAAAGCCTAGAATGATATAGTAATGCCTGTAATTTGACCAAAAAGTGGAAAAACCTTACTTTCTGGATGTTGTTGGTGTACACTATGATGATTGTACAGAGGGATGTCACACATGCATAATTTGTGTATAGTAATTGATAAGTGCAGCATGATAGGAGTATTACACGTTAGCCTTTGATTGTCGAAACAGGATAGTGGGAAAGGAGGGGAAAATGTTGCGGCACAACCGCTTGAGAAAATGTGTGCATGGATTTGGGAGGGAGTTCGTAGGTGTAAAAAATTGGTGTACATTCTAATTACTATATGCTGAGTAGATGTACAATGTGTTGAGTGTGTGATACACTGCGTTATCAAATAGTCACAAGATAATTCAGTGAAGGATGGGTCATACAGCATGTTGGCTAAAAATTATGTTATGGTATGTGAGAAAAAAGTGACATGGAGAAACATTGATATGGTGTATTAAGTGTAAAGTATTAACATAAGAAATGTTAGTCTGGGATGGGTATGTTGTATTTGATATTTCAGATCTGTATGTCTAGTGTAGCAGTTGGTGTGTATGAACACAATGTTGGCTAAGTCTTACTTTTTGCGAACTAACAGGCACAAAGAAGAAATAGAGTACAAATATTAGTGTAAAATTGGTATGTCGTATTTTGATCGTCATTACTATATGTCTATTATATTAGTTCAAGTGCATGAATACAATGTTAGATAAGTCATACATGTTGTCCTTTAACTATTACATGGTTTGGATTAACAGGTACAGGACAGAAAGAGAACATAAATGTTAGATTGAAAATGGAATATGGTATTTGGGACTGCATTGATGTATATTTATTGTAATAGTTGTTGTGCATGAACAAAATGTTGAATAAATGTTACATGGTGTGGATTAACAAGTACAGAGAAGAAACAGAATAGAAATGTTAGTGTGTAATTGGTATGTCATATTTGAGACTTCATTGGTGTATGTTTATTGTATTCGTTGCTATGCATAAACACAATATTGGATAACTGTTACATGTTGTGGATTAACAGAAATAGGACACAAATAGAATAGAATTGATGGTTTGAAATTTATATGTCGTATTTGCATCATCATTGGTATATGTTTATTGTATTAGTTTGTGTGCATGAACATAGTGTTCCATAAGTGTTACTTGTTGTAGATTAATAGGCACAGAGAAGAAACATAGTAGAAATTTTAGTCTCAAATTGGTATGTCGTTTCTGGATGTTCATTAGTGTATGTCTATTCTATTAGTTCACATGTATGAACACAATATTGGATAAGTCTTACATGTTGTTGGATAATTGTTACATGGTGTGGATTAACAGGAATAGAACAGAAAGAAAAGAGAAAGGTTAGATTGAAATTGGAATGTCGTATGTGGGACTACATTGATGTATGTTTATTGTATTAGTTCTTGTGTATGAACAAAGTGTTGGAAAAGTGTTACATGGTGTTGGATAACTGTTACATGGTGTGGATTAACAAGCACAGGCCAGAAAGAGAAGAAAAATGTTAGATTGAAATTGAAATTTGCTTCCATTTGAAACTGCATTGATGTATGTTAATTGTATTAGTTCTTTTGCATCAACAAAGTGTTGGAAAAGTGTTACATGGTGTTGGATAATTGTTACATGGTGTGGATTAACAGGCACAGGCCAGAAAGTGAAGAGAAATGTTAGATTGAAATTGAAATTTGCTTCCATTTGAAACTGCATTAATGTATGTTAATTGTATTAGTTCTTGTGCATGTTCACGGTTGTGTTGGATAAGTGTTACATGGTGTGGATTAATAAGTATAGAGAAAAAATAGAGTAGAAAAGTTAGTGCGTAATTGGTATGTCGTATTTGAGACTTCGTTGGTATATGTTTATTGTATTCATTGCTATGTATAAACAGGATGGCACGGATAAGAAGCAAAAGACGAAACAAGAGTTTAGATGAAAATGAATGAAAATGAAGGAATAGAGGCAGCGGGGACAAGTGAAGTCAGACAACCAGTTCCACCGCTGAATCCGTGGATGAAGTTTAGGTAATGTTGGTGTTTATTAAAAATAATAATGATGAGTAGAATGCACAGTTAATTGGTTAATATTGAATGTGTGTAGGAAGGAGTATCAAAGCACCGTTCCAGCGAAAGGCATTAAGATAATAGAGGTACGCATAAGAACTAAATAAAACATTAATTTGGAAAGTTAGGGCGCGGTAAAAGTAATCAACACAATCAGAAAAGGGTTAATATCAGAAACCTCCCTCTTGGTTCCTTAGAATCACACCTAGCACCCTCCATGTTATCAAAATCACACTTAGCACCACTGGAATGACAACTTTGATGTCATTGTCAGCCCCTCTATTTGAAAATAGTAGTAAAAAATGAAGTATAGGAGAGAGACTTTATTTTTGTTCCACTTTTATCCATAACCCAAAATGAGTATACTTCGTAGTAGCAAAACAGGTATAAATCTTGATTTTTAGTATACGCAAATGATCATATAATAAATAATAGGATAGCATTAGGGTTGTAATAGGATTTGTATGAAACTGTAACCGAATTTGTTATTTTGTAGACCATGGAGTATGACGATATGTATCGTTTGGAGAGATGCGAGGTAAATAAGGTTGTTAGATCAATCATCCTTGAACAGGGTAACACGTTTTGAACATTTTGTAATTTTGTGTAACACATTAGTGTACATATGGGTCCAATATGTAATAATCGTATCTCTTATGATAGGTTTTACGGATAGTTCAATTAGAGTTACAATTTGTATAAAAATATAACATAATTCAGAATAGTTATCAAAAAATTCTTAAAAGAATTTTCTGATTTTTTTTATCTGTTTTGGTATACAGTTTTGTTCTTAGTTTTGTAGTGGAGTATTGGTCTCCGTATACTGCATAGATTATTTTTAAATTATGGCCATTCAACTTTAGTTGTGGTATAACATTATTTATCCAGATTTCTTTTTGTCTCAGAATGAGTTAAGGTTATTTGTGGCATGGGGTAGATGTTGGTGATTTTTGAATAATTTATTATCTTTTGATTAGGATAATCTGTCACATCCCACTGCCAGGGATGCTAGGTGTGATAACATTAACTTGGGAGGT